AGTGGAGAATTCGCCCTGTCTGTCTGTCGGTCTGCGTGCTTGGGTTGCTCGCAGCAATCATCTACACTTTTTCTCAAAGAGCAGGAATGGAGCGTAGTTGGAAAACTCGAACTGGAAGTTTTGCGCCGTTTCATTTTGGTGTGGCTTGTCAAGCAACTGATTGTGTTGCCCCCTGTTCCGTCCTGAGACTTTGTCCTGCCCCGCTTCAGGAAAGGTAATCGCATTGTATCAATCGTGCACCTCGCAAGCTGTGATTCTTCCGTTAAAGTAGTGACAATAGACCAAGTGGGACAGGCCCTTACGTTGTCCTTGGCACTTTCTTGCCTTCAAAGGCGGATTAGAACTCTGACCTCTCCCAATTATTGTCTCCACCTTCGTCGTCAGGGTGTTTCACTCCATTGGTCATGACAGACCGTCATTTTGTGTTTGCGTCCCCCAGCTGTCTATGTGCACGACGACGCACTCACCACAACAAACGCTAACTCCCCGCTTTGGCCTTTGATACAGGAGGAGATACAAGCACCTCCTCGGCGTCCGGGCAACCATCATACAGGTATTCTGCGGAATTGGTGCCCGGGAGTGCAATCATTTGTGTACCCAGACGACAAAACACGATGAAAAATCACCTCGACCTCCCTTTATATGCATGATTTTTCAAGTCGAGCCAGTGCGAACAGCTGCGAAGTCATTGGAGCGTACGAGCTTCGTACCTTGTACTGGCGCACCGAGGTATTCCTTTTCTGAATATTGTACCGAGGGGAAGACCTGTTGAAACCCTTCTCAAGCTTGCAGACGAAGGCATACGCGCTGCGGAATAACTCTTCCATGTGAATCGGAATCGATATGTACTCTTCAGGGAGAGAAAAATATCATTGCCCAGATTGAAACTGCGACCCGCGGTGACTAAATAGAGTCGTGGAAAAACCAATGAAAAGGCTGGGGATTCAATTTGAATGGAGGTAACCTGTACTATCATCAACGTTCGTGCCTTGACTTACTTTGGTGGAATGAAACACACGTCTAATGGCACGGCACATGAGAACCAGTCTCCAAGGAAGAAACCTCTTGCCGTTGTCCCCTCCTCAAGGCACTATTCTGTTTGGCTTGTCCACCTTTCGTTCCCCGGCCTCAACTGACGCCTTGCAATGTATTTTCCTCCACAACCCGTTGATTTAGCCCGCTTCCTCCCATCCCTCCGCCTTTGCGCCGCCACGTTGATCAGCGGGCATACCGTAGACGATTATTGAGGCTCAAGCCAGGTACTTATGGTAACCCCATCCAAGCGGCAACTGGCAAGAGTGCTCCAGCAATGTTTTCGTCGCTTCTAGGTGGCGGCGTCGGCGTCGGCGTCGGCCGCACGGGCCTCGGAAGCATCACCCGGGACACGGTCACAAGGCTAACTGGGACCAGCCGGGAGACGTTGGCAAGGATAACAGGCACCGGGGCGAAGCTGACCCGCGTGGTGAACAACACAGTATACCTAAAGAACGCAAGTGAAGCCTTGAGAGTAATGGGGGACTTTTCCCACTGGTCGGTGGAGCTGAGGTAGTGACAAAACGTAACCACAGAGCAAGGAATACCACAAGGAGCGGAGAGAACATCGAGATATGGCCGGGAAACCACACACACGGGCACTGAAAACGATAGGATCGTCTCTAGCGTACAGATTTGAACTGACGTTTGTCCATCCGACTCAAGAGAAGACCGCACATATCATTGTGTGTCGCAACTCGTCCTTATGATCATATTACGAAGGATGACCGAGAAGTTCGCGATCCTGATTGACGGCTGGGAAATGGTCATACTCGCTTTTCAACCTATTCACAGTACACCGGGAACAAACGTTGGTGCAACAAAGAGGGGATATAGTACGGACGACGGCAGAGGAAGTGTGGTTCCGATTGCCACTCGGGGTTTGCGCGACGAAACAAAGGGGATCACGCCATCGCGATTTGCGTCTGTTTGCGCTGAAGTAGTGCTGCACATAGCGGTGGGCTGAAGAGCCTCGTCTACGTAGGTAGATGATCGTTTCACCGGACCGAGATGTGGAGGAAAATGAAATGAGCGTGGCCACAAGCCTTGAATCGTGCTGATAGACATGCGACGGAAGAGCATCGCGAGAACAAGAGAGCTTCCCTCGTCGCTTGGCTGCGGCGCCGACGGCGTTTGGTGGATAGGTTACTGAATATATGCGATCCAAATCGAAACTGGTGAGGACATTCAATGACTATTCCAGCATACATGAGGGCCAGTACAGGCTGAAAATAATTTTCTGGGTACCAGCACGCCTTTCCAACCAGTCGCTGCCTCGTCCGCATTGAGACAGGCCGCAGAGAGGGCACAGCTTGCAATGGGGCTCGCGGGCAAAGTACGGACTACCGGTAGATGGACGCGACGCATTTCGGTCATGGTTGGGACGATTAGACGAGGAGGTACTGAACCCGGCGAGCGTTCGTATCCAGTACCAGGGCACATGACTCTTGTTCGCTTTAACTTGCAGCACATCTGCTAGACTGCTACCTGACCGTAGGGGCATGCACGAAGGGACCAGACGATTTGGAAATGGACACCAAAGTTATTGTTTCTCTTGCCCGGGTGCCCATTTAGGGACACTAACAGAGTCAAGAACTTGGTGAGCCTGACCGGCCAAACGCTTGAGCATTGGTTGGGCGAGCAAAACACTTGTTAGAACTCGAAACAGCTATGACCGCTGACCAGACCAGCAACGTGGTTCCATCCAGCACAATTCCTTGCTGTTTGGAGAATGCACTCGAAAGGGCCAACATAGTGACGTACTGACGAACGGTTGGCTGCTTCCCATGATTGTTCGGTTCTGCTTGGGATGGCATACAGGTGCTCGAACAGCGAAAACTACGTTGATGATGAAGACCTTGGCCTTTCCGATAACGACGCTGGCGAGTCGGAAGAAACATAAAGCCGCGACGACCATTGCGGGAGCGATAATGATACGAGTGGCCTCCGGGAAGCTCATGAAGAAGAAAAAGGTCAGCAAGTATGGCGTGCCGGCCATCCCCGCGTGACGACGGGCGCCAGATGTGTTGGCGTCGTTAGTATCGCTCTCTGTGTCAGCCAGACGACGTACGTTGTACAATGGCGCGTACGGATGCTTCCGAGGTCAATTTAGCGACACAATTGAAAACGAGAAAGTTCCAGAGCGCAAAATATATTTGAACCTTGAGGCCTGACCGTTTGGAAGGAAACCGCAGGGTGGGGACGTTATTGTTACCCCAAACCTACCACTTAATGAGGTTGCAGACGAGGATGGAACGGTTGCCAGTTGTATCCGTACCAGCGCCAAGATATGCCACAAAGAGCAACACCGTCTGCAAGCAATAAAGATGAGAGTGCCACTGTTCGCACGATTGCAGTCCTCCTTTCATCCTCTTGGCAATGTTGAAGAACTACGCCGTGAGCGTCTTTCGCATGTAACACACTTTGCACCGACCTGGGCATGAAAAAACGAAACGCGTTCTTCCACGTTTGATGCAAAAACATTGTCCAGGAGAAGGAGGAGAAGGCGGCGATCAGAATCCAACAGTATGTTCGCGACCGAAAACACAACAGCGTCACTTCGAGGTACAGAGGGCTGGACGACCACTCCCATGCCAACGACAAGACGTGCTTTGCGTAGAAGTACCACACGCACGCTTCCCTACCCCTCATGCTTCCTGTTGCCTCATGCCAGTCCTTCTCAGTTCCTCTAGACCCGTAGAGCGGGGTCGACGTTCGCCGTATACGGTTGTTTCAATGTATTTTCGAATTCAGCATCAAAGGTCTCCGAATAGCGCTGGTCGTCTCCGTAAAAGAAAACACTGCATTACCACCCGTTTTCCCCATAATGGCTCAAACCCCAGCAATCAAAAAAAATTTGCCCCTCCCGATTCCACCATCTACCTGGCCCAACACTGATCTTGACCCGCGTCTACGGACTGAAACCAAGCGTAGCAGATTGGAACTGTTTCACCCTCCTCCCCCCCCCCTCTGGACGCTCCTAGTTTTACTACCACGCATCTTGCTGCTTTTGCTGATGTTGCTTGGTGACGTGCTGGCTGGCTCCATCATGCCCCAGGCGTCAAGACCTGTTCAGAAGCGTCTGCATCCAGGCCATGTACCGAGCAACCGCGAAGGGGAAGGCGGGCGTTGTTGTGCGTGCGTCGGGAAGGCGCTACATCGCCAGGAGAAGGTGGGTTCCCCTGCCTACGGTAGATACGTCCTGTGGCGGGGGCTCACAAATCTTTAGACCGCCCGTTCCCAACCTCTGCTGCTGTGCAACAGCCTAATCGGAGTAGAAGATCTCGCGGCAGGTCGATTCATTTGAGCATGGCAATAAAGTAATGAATCGGTTGATATTCCATTGGTGGTCTGAGGACAATATTATGTCGTTGGATGCTCAGTTCGCGCCCCTTTCCATCGGCCGTGCCGATGGTCTCCCCCATCTCTCTGCGAATCCCCCGTGGAGTCGAGCCTCTAATCAACAGCCTAAATACGAGTAACGAGAAACGGGCAACGAACGAGCGAGAGCAAGCCGAAAAGAAGCGGCGCAAAAAAAAAAGCGACAAGCGCCCAGCGCCAATGACGAATGACCAAATACTGCATGAAAATGAACGAGAGACTTCTTGGGGTGTGTCGACAGGTTTATGCGGACACGTCGGTGGGTGATAGGGCTCCAGGCACTGACCCGCGGGTGGCTCGGTCGTCGGAGGGCCCAGTCTCGCAGGACTTACACCCAACACATCGGCGAGGAGAGAGCGGCAGGGCGCGTTAGGTGCGCCGTGGCTGTAGGAATGCTATTGTTAACGGTCGATGCAGAGTGAAGGAAGGACCCAGCCGTTGGACCGAGCTTCCCGGTAGTCATGGATTTTCTATGCTAACCCCCCCACTGCCTCGTAACCTACAGAGGTGAAGTTGCAGCGACTCCTGCCCAAACAGCCTAGTGTTAAGGAGGACCCGATTCGCAGGGTATCCGTCGATTGACTTTTACCTGAATCGGTACACCTTCGCATGTTGTTGTTGTTGTTGTTGCTGTTGTTGTTGTCTTCACATTAAACCGCATGTCAGTTGCTAAATGCCAAAATCTAGCAAAGACTCTCAGCCCGTGGTCACGAAAGTGCTAGAGCCATCTGAGGATCTAAAGAACACGCACACATATAACGAGAAAAAGGTATCCAAGAGCCCGAAGAGGTACACCTAAAAATCCCTGCAGCACCGTATGCGTGCCCAAAAACTGAACTGCACGTCCGTCCCACCGTTCGACTACAGTAGCATCACCCCCTCCCTGTCCCACTCTATA